AAATCGAGGGGGGCATGTGATTCCATATGTCCTCCATGTTTCGCCTTTGGTATAAGATGTAGATATACAGGCAGTCCCCGGGTTACATACAAGATAGGGACTGTAGGTTTGTTCTTAAGTTGAATTTGTATGTAAGTCGGAACTGGTACATATTGTAGGGGAAACTCTAGCCAAACATTTCTCCAGAGCTCAGTTTTATTCTCCCACACCTCACTTCCCTCAGGGTATGTCCTCCATGTTTCGCCTTTGGTATAAGATGTAGATATACAGGCAGTCCCCGGGTTACATACAAGATAGGGACTGTAGGTTTGTTCTTAAGTTGAATTTGTATGTAAGTCGGAACTGGTACATATTGTAGGGGAAACTCTAGCCAAACATTTCTCCAGAGCTCAGTTTTATTCTCCCACACCTCACTTCCCTCAGGGTATTATTCCTAGCTTCGTGTCTCCCTGGTCTGCTGGGGGGAAGCAGCTAGTGCGGGGTTGCCTCACCCCATTTGTAAGTAGGGATCCGATGTAAGTCGGATCCATGTAACCCGGGGACTGCCTGTACTTGATTGCCCTAGTCACTGAAGTGCCTAGTATGTCTGTGGAACACAACACAAATAAAGCACCTTCTTAATCCTTTCTTATGTCTACGTACTACCCACTTACTGAACCATGCCCAGTGACTACTGTGGATTCCAGGGGGAGGAATTAAGGATGCATTGTGGGAACAGTGTGTACTTAACTCTGTATTTCCTGGGTTTCAGAAGTTTAAGTTTGTATTGTCTTAACTCTTCAAGTCCCAACTTCCTGAGGGTTGAGGGTTGATGATTTAATCATGCTGAAAGGGCACCACTGGGTAACTTTAATTCTGTGTTAAGAAAATGGGAGTTAAAAGACATATAGGTACTAATGGCTTTTCTCATATTGCTTTCACATACTCAGAGTATTTCATAAACAAAATTGCCAGGACACATAAATATGTTTACTTCTACATTTATCTCTAATAAGCAGTCTGAAAATACAAATTATGTCAAGAGCTGGAAAAGTAATTGAAAAAGGAAAAACATTTGGAAAAATTGAATGGTTGGGTATATAGCCATAAGGAAGAGATGGACTCTGCTGTCTTAAAAGGGTGTCATGCTTCTATTCTTTGCAAGTTACCTAAAGAGTAAGTGAGATATGTAGAAGTTGCTTTATAATCATGAATTTACTTTATACTTCTGTGACTTTATTAGGTTATTTGTTAATATAGATACACATCTGTATAATTTATATAGTATTTTCCCAGTTCAAGTGTGTGAAAAAACATTATACAATGCTAACATGCATTGCATTTTAAGCAAATAAAGAAATTAATTTCATGAGTGTCAAGGGTGTTGGGTGCTGAGTAACCTGCATCACCCAATAGAGTCAGTAGGAGTTGCAGGTGCTCAGTATTTCTCAAAATCAGACCATAATTTAACATTTTGTATGTGAGGCAAGAACACTTCAGAATGTAACACTTTATAACAAATTCACCAGGCTGTTTGAGACCTTTTCCTGTGAGCTTTTCCTGTTACCTAGCTTTTTAGGGGGCTATTTCATCTTGATCCAACTCGCCTATCTGTCTGCCTGATGCCATTTTTTCAAACTGTGAGTTCTCAGTTCTGTGAAAGGAATGGCAGGCTTTGAAACTGACATGGTTCCATTGCATAGACTGTCAGAGCAACTGGCCTGGAAAAAAAGAAAGGAAGAAAAAGCTTATATGTTTTAATGATAAAATCTAGCAATGATAAAATGATAAAATCTAGCAATTTTTAAGAGCCAGTTTTTAATGTTCTCATTATTATGATGGTAGCAGAGTCACATCTATTTAATTGTTTCTATTCCCTGTCCTGACTGTAGCAATGATTCTTTGAAGACATAATGTCATGAATAGGACAGGTACAATGGTGAAGGATGGACTTAAACAGCATGGATCCTCTAATGAGGAAAAATACAGGTTGAGAGCAGCCAAGTAAATTAATTTGGGAATCCCTATCCCCACTGGTCTCAAAAAATAGGAGTGTCTGTAGCTTTGTGCATAACTCACTTGAATAAATTTAAAAATCCTAAAATATTGGATAATCTGCCAAGGGTAATAAATGAGGGGAAATCAGGCTGCAAATAGCCTTTACATTAACATTGGACGAATGAATTTTAAGGTATCTTCTTTCTCAATTGCTCAAGTGGTTTAAAAACTAATTGAACATGAGAAAATAAAACATTGACAAGTATATATAACATTTTGGTGATATAACAGGTAATATGTCCTTTTTCATTGTGTGACTTTGCTGAGAATAAGTGCAATGAAATCTTCATGGGTCCTATAGATCCTAAGTTTCATTCAAGCCATTTAAAAAATCAGACATTTTGTGCTATTACTTCTCAGGGCTTTGACACATTGTGCCTTTTCCTGTTTGTATAGTCACATTAGAAATCTGCATACATATTGCACAAAGGAAAGTCCCATGTGTTCTAATTGGGCACCTATTATGTATACCTAGCAAATAAATATTTCAATACAGAGGCCATCTTGTAACTCCGTGGTCCCCAACACGGTACCCGCGGGTGCCATGGCGCCCGCAGGGGCATTTGTGTGTGCCCGCTAAGTGCTCGGGGCTGGCCTGGCCCTGGGCACGTGGCGCATGCGCGGTGCCGGAGCCGGCCCCGGGCACATGGCGCACGGTGAGCGCCGGCCCCGGGAGCGCTGCGGATTGGCCGCCTGCGCTCTGGGCACGCGGTGCTTGGAGGGGGCGCTGGCCCCGGGCACGTGGCACTTGGGAGGGGCACCGGCCCCAGGCACGTGGCACTTGGAGGGGGCCCCGCCCCCGGGCACGCGCCTATGCGGGGGCCCTGACCCAGGGCACGCAAGTGTCCCCGCCCTCTGGTGCCCGGTGGGCGAACAGCCACGCCCCCTGGCGCCCGGCAACCTCCAGTGGTTGGGGACCACTGGTCTAGACATAGGAACCGAT